TGTGGATTACGCACCCCCCCCCCCCCCAAACACCTTGAGAAAGAAAAGCACAGCTTCAGCCCAAGAGATCTCACTTACCTTAGGTGCTGCCTTTTTGGGCTTTGGCTCCGGTTTAGGCGGAGCAGGTTTCTGTACAAAACACACATAAGAATCAGAGTCAGATGAATGCTACACCTTTTTCAGCAACATGTTGGTAGCTCTTGAGAACTATTCAAACAAAAAATAAGTTTTGAGCTGTCTGCTTCACTCTGCAGTACACAGGAGTAAATGGCAGAGACACATCAGTACCCTTCGTTATCCAAACCCACGTTTCCTCATGTATGTTATGTTACAGTGGTCATGGTACAGAGGCCGACAGCAGTAGCAAGCGGATCATTACTATGGCTGGGTGTTCCTGTCTGCTGTGAAGGCAAGGGGTCATCAAAAATCAAAGGTACATTTGGACATAACTCTATGTATGAGCACACATCTTAGCTTTCACTAAAATTAAGTACTTTCCTTTTTAAACAGCAACCATTATCCACTTGGCATGTCCGAGATGGCTTAAAAAAGGGCTAAGTGCCCTCAGCACCTGCAGAAAAGGATGCCAAGAGCCTGGTTAAGGCTGTGACTTTGGGCCGAACCTGACTGCGTGACAGAGATTTACACCCTCTAGGTCTCAGTTTACCCAATAGTTGGGCCCGCAAAATCAATGGGCAAATTACAAGTATAAGGAGAGCGCAGTTAATTTAAGGAGCTACGAGCAGGTATTTGTACGGGGAAGACCTACAGAGAACAAATGCATCTTGAAATCAATACTCCCTGACTCTGGATACTCCTGCGTCCAGATGGGATGCTAACTAACACAGACGTCGTATCGCACCTGAAGCGTCTGAAAGCAAGCCTGTCCTGTGGCGATACTCAAGGACTGGAAACACAGAATAGGAATTTTAAATATCGCGACACTCTAATCGTGCCTTTCACAATGCTGGTGGGGAAAAATAAGTTTCTCTAGAACTTAGTATCCAACAATGCCATATTAGAAAAGTAAAGATACTTACAGCGGATAGTCTTGCCGACCTTCTCTTTGGCTGCGCAAAGAAAGACGTGTCACTAAAGTTCACAGAGTGTGTTTTCTCAGAACTGATACCCAGAGCAACACAACACACACCCCACGCCACGAAGCCCCGTGCGAACTCTAGGAATTTATGAAATTACAGGCATTACAGCGACAGCTTCCCAAAAGCGCAGCTTTGTTTAACAGTCCTTGCTCTACACCGCCACGTTTTACCCCGCTACTGCGGCAGCAAGCTAGCAAGTTTCTTTACTTCCAGGAGCCGCACCACAGAGGCTCTGTCGCCCAGGTGCTGTCTGTAAGTGGGGCACAGTCGCGACACCCAGCACCCACCTCAGGCGACGGCCCAAAGATGGGCACCACGAACCCTAGAATCACAGACTAGTTTGGGTTGGAAGGGACCTTAAAAGGCCATCTGGTCCAACCCCTGCAGTGAGCAGGGACATCTTCAGCTGGGTCAGGTTGCTCAGAGCCCCATCCAACCTGGCCGTGAATGTTTCCAGGGATGGGGCATCGACCACCCCTTTGGGCAACCTCTGCGAGGGCCTCACCACCCTCATGGTGAAGAATTTCTTCTTCATATCCAGTCTAAATCTGCCCTCTTTTAGTTGAAAGCCATTACCTCCTGTCCTATCGCAACAGGCCCTGCTACAAAGCCTGTCCCCATCTTTCTTACAAGCCCCCTTCAAGCACTGGAAGCCGCAGTGAGGCCTCCTACGCTGGGGGCTCCAGAGTTGGACACAGGACTCCAGGTGGGGTCTCACGAGAGTAGAGTAAAGGGGCAGGGAACCCTGGCCGCAGACCCCACGCCTTGTCATTTATGTGGGAACCTCAGCGATATTTTATAGAGGAACCGGTGCCGGGGAAGCAGCCCTTACCTCCTCCTTCACCTCGCCTTCCACTGGAGCCTGCAAGGGAAGCGAGAGACCGAGGTGAGAAGGCGGGAAAGGCAGGAGCGGGAC